GCGTCCTCAACATCGCCCTCGATTCTTGGCGCCCTCCGACGACCGCATCTGACGCGTGGAGAAAGTCGCATCACCCTCGATTCTTGGCATCCTCAACATCGCTTGCTGGTACACTTTCTTGGACCCTGGCTCGCAGGTCGTCTTCCGCCTAGTCTACTCAGGATATCGCAATGCAGTCGGTCGTGCGAGTCTTCTTCTACATCACCGCCTGCTCCGTCAATCACGCACGAGTCGACATGCGCGCGATCTTGAGTCCGCGATGTCCGCAACTCACAACCACGAAAGTTTTCTTCCACTGACACACGCTGACGTCACCATCTTGCGCATGACGTCTGGAATTCGAAATGGCTTGCGGCTTTCGCAGTCAAGATCGTCGGACTCCTCCGACGAACGCATCTGACGCGTGGACGAAGTTTCATCGTCGTTGCTCCCTAGCGTCCTCAACATCGNGCTTTCGCAGTCAAGATCGTCGGACTCCTCCGACGAACGCATCTGACGCGTGGACGAAGTTTCATCGTCGTTGCTCCCTAGCGTCCTCAACATCGTGATATGTGATCAGTGCTGCGACAACACAGCATCCGATAGACGTCAACACCGGAGACGTCATCTGAAAAAACGCATGTCGATCGACTTTCAGATCTCGTCCATCCATCTCCGGTGTTGACGTCTATCAGATGATGTGTTGTCGCAGCGCTGATCACATCATCCCATGTCCAACAGGCAGCCTCACGACAAACGCGCACCTCCAACAGGAATCGCACGTGTCGCAAGCACAGCCAACAGTGGCAAAGCCACCCATCCACAACATTCAGCGACGACCTGTTGCGCACAACGGATACCCATGGCGAATCCAAAACATCCCAGATTACCGCCGATCCCGCGACACCCCACCGCCAAGGGCCAACTTCGAGCTCGTTTCCGATGGACTCGGTGATTGAACATGTCCATCGCGGTTATGGACGACATCAGGATCTTTTTCTTGTTGTCTTGAACGCTCCCTGTCTCATCGACCGTTCTCGCACACGCAGCTAGCAGTGAGGAACTGCCACACAATCGGGCGCAAAACGCCATATACAATCTCGAAATCTGAGTTGAATGAACGCACCAATGGCCTCGTGGAACGATCAGCTCTCGATCCACGCCGATCACATTTCGATTCCAATTAATCGCAGCCGCGTGTTCCAGAGCAGCTTAGGGAGGCTTGCGCAGGATTGCAGCGGGAGTGAGAGAGTGTTGTTCGTGCAACTTGTTCCGGATGGAGTTCGGATTCATCCGAGCTCGGGATAAAGGCAATAGTAGATGTCTTTTGCAATGCCAGTGAATGGACGACTATGCCCCCCTTACATCCGACCCATTGTTTTCAGGCAACGTCCCCCCATCGAGAGTTTTGAGGTGACCCCCTGTCCATAACAACCCGCCACTCATGACTTTTGTCGGTGTTCTTTGTCTCCCACGAGGGGTTATGCAATTCTCAGGCTGGACGTTTTTGTTCCGCCTCACTACGGAACGTGTGATGTAGTTCGGATGAATCCGAACCACAACCCTCGGCTCGTGGGAAGTCTCAACGGGAACCGCATCCCTCCGATGTCTCGGTGGAAAGGACAACGACGCCGCAGGGGATCGCTTTCGAAGTAAACATCTCCACAAATCATGACTCCGATAGCTCCCCATCTGCTTTTGCCTTCGTTTGTAGCTCGGATGAATCCGAACCACAACCCTCGGCTCGTGGGAAGTCTCAACGGGAACCGCATCCCTCCGATGTCTCGGTGGAAAGGACAACGACGCCGCAGGGGATCGCTTTCGAAGTAAACATCTCCACAAATCATGACTCCGATAGCTCCCCATCTGCTTTTGCCTTCGTTTGTAGCTCGGATGAATCCGAACCACAACCACAGACGACTGACGATCGACAGTCGTGGCTTTTGTCAGTGTTTATTTCTTCCGCATTGGGTCGTGCAACACTCACACCGGACTTATCAGTTCCTCGTCACTCCTAAACGTGTGATGTAGCTCGGATCAATCCGAACCACACCCCTCATCGCATCGGGAGTCCCGAGGTGATTATCACGCCCAGTGACGGAATGTCTCATCGGGAAAGGAAAACGGCGGCACACGCCACACGTCCTGAATGCAACATATAATATCTATAGGTGGGCACTCATGGCATTTATTGTTGATTTTTTCTTCCGAGCGGCGAAATGTGAACATTTCGCGGGACGTCCGGGAACTGCCTGACTGAAACCTTTTGTTGTGGTCCGGATTAATCCGAACCTCATAGCTCGACGGGAAAAGAATCTGATTTGTCCGCCACATCGCACAGGCGGGTCTCATGAACTGCGGATGGCACTCTTGGCTTTTGTCTGAGTTGTTTTATTGCACATGGGGCAGTAATGCAAACATCCCAATGGACGTGTTGCTTCCTACGGGCTCCGCCTTCGATTCCAGGGGTGTCTCATCCTTCTGCCACATCCCACCGAATGAGGCGAGGATGTTGGGCGGTGGCTCGAATTAATCCGAGCCACGGATGGTCGCACGACATCCCATTTAATATCTATCTTTCCGGGGCGGTTGCTCGGATTGATCCGAACCACGGATTGGTATACTTGGATGAGCTTCTGTCTAGGACTTCTGTTGGCGTGTGGCTCGGATTGATCCGGACCTTGGATCTGGGGCGGGGCGGTAGGCTTGGATGAGCTTCTGTCTTGCTGTTTTGTTCAGCTCGTATTCAGAACGACCGTGGTAGGTAGAGTTTGTGCTTTCATGGCTCTGCGAAAAGTACTTGTCATGTCGACTGTGCGAAAACGTCTTCTGTAGATGAGGCGGTGTAATGTGGCTGTCCGGCGTCGGTGTGCTGTTCCGTTACTCCCCCTGAAATACACAAACGGATGTTTTGCACACGACGGCGAGGGTCGTCCGACTCTTCTGTCCATCTCAATGTGCTTTACGGCTTTGGTTTTAATAATTTCATGAAATTAGGCATCTACTCTGGAACGGGTCCCTGCATGACTTTTAGAAAACACTACATTGGCCTGGTGAACTTCTGATTGATGACCTTCTATAAGGGCTTTGCCACGCGATGTGGAAAGATTTTTTTTTTGGACGATTTCCGATTGACGGCCTTCTGTAAGGGCTTCGCCAATAAAAAATTGTTAGGCGTTACAACTGGGTGTGGGCCTCGTCGGGGAAACTCTCGTTCACCAACATTGTTTACGACGGTCTCGTCTTCCGTATGTCTTTCCATGTGTTCGTGTTGTGTAGGGAGTTTAATGTCGTCGAGTCCTTCGACAAGCATTGCCATGACACCCGAGAAGCATATGCGCTTAGCGAAACCCTTTCCACCTTGTGCGAGATCGTTGCGGCATCATGAAGGTCAGACGTGGATCGACGATGCAACCGAGGACGACTTCGTGGACGACCCATGGACGACCGTCGTCCCTTACATGAACCGGCATCTCGACGAATGGAACGAAAATGACTGGAAAACGATGGAGCATTCCTGCCCATGGGCAAGCCATTACAAGTTTGCCAACATGTTGGAGTTCGGGAGCCTCATTGCACTGCTTGATGGTGTCCTCCATCGAAAGACCCAGGACGATAAGGGTAAACCGGTGCGCTTCCGTACCTGCTTCAGACGTCGCCTCCACAGCGAGTACATCACATCTTCGCCACGAACTTGGGGAAGTTCGCAAAAGCAAGAGTTTGTGGACTGCACTCGTCATTGTTCATTCTTGGAACACTACTCACCTCGTTGCCCAGGGACTTCTCAACAAGCTCTGTCGTACTGTTGTGTGTGGTTGACGGATGACGGATGTCCTTTCGCCAGAGTGCTTTGTGTGGCTTCTTCAAGTAAAAGAAGGAAACTTGTGGATGCAGTTGTGCTTGTGTCATGCAACGAGATGGTGCTTCAGGGTTTCAAGTTCAAGGCGGTCATGTCTCGCCCAGATGTGGATGAGCGGTCAGACTTGGTGAGAGCAATTCATGTGAGAGTTTTTCTGTCATTGTGGGATGATGTGGAAAAGAAAGTGTCTGAAATACGTGACTGTATAGAGAATTCCTTAGCACGACGAGGAGGGTTTGTCAGGATGAAATACATGTCCGTGTTTTCGGAGAACGCAACAGTCGACGAGCCGAGGATCCATGTGTATGGATCATCTATGAATGCTATGTATGGCTTCCGTTCACGACCACGTCCGCGGGAAAGCCCGTATGTTACAAGATATGGACGTGTAGTCAGACCTTGTGTTTAAGGGAAGAGGAAACTCCCTCATGACGACTACAGTTGACACCGACGTTGTGGCATTTGAACTAGCACTGCAGACTTGCGAAGGTGACGTTCTATAAGTGTTTCGGATTCATCCGAATCATCAATCAGATACATGCGGGTGCACCCAACGTTGAACGTGATGCATGAAGGTTTCCCCGAGGACGATCCTTGGCCGAACAACAACCCGTCAGATTCAGTCTGTGCGACTCCCTAACGACACACTGTCGAGTTTATTTTCTTGCACGCCTTTGAGGCAAACGAGAATTCCAAATAGTCCACCGCCCTCTAGATCGTCTGACACTGCCATGTTTCGTAATTGTCCGCGATGGTTTTCAGATAGGACGCCATGAAATGTGGTGCCCGTGTCCGTGACCGTCTGTGCAACAGCCGCTGCATGGCAGAAAGTAATGTGAGCCACGTCGGCCGAGGCTGCAATCATGCATGTCCAGCATGACAGCTTCTGTCTCGGATTCATCCGAAGTCGCCGGCTGCACAAGCATTTTCATTCTCATCCCCGAAAAAGTCGTCTGTTTCCCTAGACACCTGCTGATATAAACTCCTCTTTCCATCAATACGCTGCATACAGGCTGATGATCAGCAGCCGCGCAGAATACATAGCACGTCTCGATTGCAAAATCGTCGGGTCGTTTTCTCTCGACGGCGAAGGCTCGTGATCACCCCCGGCGTGGGCGACGATGGTTTTCGGATTGGATGCCATGAAATGTGGTGCCATGTCCATAGCCCTCTGTGCAAAGCCGCTGCCAGGCCGAAAGTGACGTGAGCGACGCTGGCCGACGCTGCACAAAACACTCTGTGCAATCTGCCTTGTCCGGCATGTCATCTTGTGTCTCGGATCCATCCGAGCTTGTTCCTTCTCGTCACCGGATGATCAACACCTGCACAGAACACAAAAACACCTCTCGATTGGAACATTGTGGGGTCATTGCGTTGTCGACTCCCACATGATGATTACAGTGAACAGCGGCATGATGGCAGGTCCGCCTCTCCGATGTGGGTCTAACGATGGATTGCGTCAAATCTGCTCTCAAAGATCCACACTACAGAGGGGGGCCAACAATCGACCACTGCTTGCTTGTAAAACATCATATGGTGTGTCGATACAACCGACATTCAGAACTGGTCGGTGAGCATCTGGTGCTACGCCAAAACGTTCGTCATGCGGCCGCGATATTCCCTCGCGATTGCTCATTTTGCGGTTCTCGCGTCATAGACTCCCTTATGATGACTACAGTTAACAGCGGCAGGGTAGCAGGTCCCCTTCTTCGATATGGATCTCACAATG